ATCAACTGTTAAAAACATACTGTTCACATTTTTCTCAATAAATGGATGTTTTCAAAGTACCGTAATTTTCGGACTATAAGCCGCGCCTTTTTCCCTATTTTTCGACGCTGCGGCTTATATAACGGTGCGGCTAATCTATGGATTTTTACAGCTAACGGCCAACACCTTTAACTCTATGGGCCCTATGGCCGGTCCGCGGACCCCCACCTTTAAGCGGCGGGTTCCAGCAGGAAAAGCTGGAGGCCGGAAAAGAGTGAGACAGGTAGCGCGCAAAAGTAAAAGTGGAACCGAGAGTGGTATGCCGCTGCTGCGGCTTATATTCAGGTGCGCCTTATAGTCCGAAAATTACGGTAAATGGATAGTCGTTTTTAGAATCGTGATATCAATTATTGACCCAAATAAATCGAGATTATGATTTTTGCCATAATCGAGCAGCCCTACTATGCTTACCTGTCATTTTTGGTCTCTGCATCAGAAAGTGTCTTTTTCAAATGTTCCAGATCTCGGGCTGAATTCTGAGTCTGCTGCTCCAGTTTAGTCTGAAGTCTCTTCAGCTCATCCGCCTGCCCTTCAGATTTAGCTTGAGAACAAAAAGACAAACGAGTTAAACATGAGATTATTCTCGGTAATAAATTCTGCTACTAACGTTTCTATAACTAACTTACCTTTGAGGTCATCTAGTAAGCCCTGGGTGCGTTTAAAGCTCTGATCTGCACCCTTCTTCTCCTCCTCCAGTTGACTAACACGCCTGCTGCTCTGATCCAACTGAACAGTCACACTGTTCTTCTCTCTCTGCAGCTCCTGGAGGCAAGGGAAATGTGAAGAGAACATGAGTTAAGGGAAGACATGGAGACCGTGAGAACAAAAATGTTGCAAAAAGACACCTGGCCATAGTGTTGAGATTAATACTGTACACCAAAACCTTTTAGCAACAAATAAGGATAACATATCATGTTGTTTTTAGTTGGCCAGAAACGGCTGTTCAGACTGAATAAATAAAGTGATACCAGCATATTTGCAAGGTGGTTGTCAGTGTAGAATTATATGAAGTGGATATTCTATGAAAAGCAACCCACCTCCATCTTCTTGCGGAGGTCCTGCTCTTTGGTCTGACTGACCTGGAGGCTCTGCTCTGACCTCAGCAGTTTCTGCTTGTGCTCCTCCACCTCCCTCTCTATCTGAGTCTTTTGAAAGGACGCCTGGAAAAGACGGTAAGAAGAGTTAAAATGAGAAGGAAGAAGTACACACAAGAGCAGAAAGTCTGACACATCCGGCCATTGACAGCATTGACAGCAGCTGACGCAAACAGCTGGAAACTACATGCTTATATTGGAGAAAATATGATCTGCTAAACAAAAGGTTTCTGTGTTGCCTACCGTTGACATGCCTACATACAGAAGAGTACAAGAGGGAGGTGGTGCAACAGACCTCAAGGTAAATTCCATATTCTCACAGCCATTATCCAAATCATTAAAGTTGGGTCCATGTATGCCATGTATTATACTATATAATAGTATAATTTGTGTAGCCAGTAATATTGGGCAAATAAATAAATTAATGCTGTCAAAATTATCGCGTTAACGGCGGTAATTAATTTTTTGAATTAATTGCGTTAAAATATTTAGCGCATGTGCAGAATGGCCCGCCCCATACATCCCACCAGTGGCAGCGCCAGGGTATGGCTGGGGTAGGCTACACCCGTAACAAGAAATGGCTTAGCCCCACCATGAAAAATGATGTTAAAGTAAGCAGAATAAAGTCCGCCAACTCGCGGAGTAAATTGCGCAGACACTAGTTAGTAAGATTGATTTCAGTAGCCACTTGTCTGGAAATGCCGAAGACTAGAAACAGTTTTGAAAACTTTTGTCACGTAGTGATCGTCTTCTCAATAGAACATCTTTGATAATGTCTTCTGGCCAATCAGAATCAAGATAACGGCGTGGTGTTGTTGCAGGAAGTCCCGACGGAGAATACTTTTGCTGTAGTACAGGGGTGCACATGACTGGTACGCAGGTATGCATGCGCGGCAACAATCTGAAATGCGTACCGTCACTTGTGTCACAAAGCGCATTTGCGTACCAACGTACTTGTGAAGCTTTTCCAGAAGGCGGTTAGATCACCGGACGGAATTGTGCCAAAACTACGCCAACCGGTGCGGAGAGAGAGACTCCCCCCCTTCACTGGAGAACTGCGATTCCCCCCCCGCCAATCAACACCTAATGAAATAAGACCCCACGGTTTGATGATTGATAGGTGTGGGGGCTGTCTTTCATTTTGACAGACAGCACAATGTTATA